TTGTGAAAAGTGGCATTTTGTCTACCATTTGGTTGTACTGTACGTACAGCTTATGAGCTGTCAATTGTATTCCTTGCGGTCCAATACAATCAAATACACGACACATTCGCTGCAATTGCCATAAAAAACCATGTATTGTAAGTGATTGAACATAAGAGCCGGGGTATACATGTCTTAGTGAAGATGTAGTTACACAATGAGTAGGCAATGGCATCCATAATACAATATGTTTTTGGACCCTGAGGCTAATGCGAGGCAAACGGTAGATATGAGATGATAGCAAGAATTGGATGCGAAAAGTGATGCCGTACGCAATCCTACCGTGATTATGCCACTAGACTACCAGTGCTTTTTTTTGAATACGAGTGCAAATCAGCACTCGGTTTGTTTGTTAGGCATTTCGTGTGTGAATTCTGCCGCAAGAATCGCGTTTCGATTAACGAAGTAATCAAACATTACTTTTATATATAGAAAAATTGGTTTACTGTACGAAATTGAGAGTGAAATATACATATCGATGCATATTTTATGTTGAATTCATACTGCATTAAAAACGTATTCAAGAATATTCTTTCTAAATATTGTATTTTATTGGAAAATATATGTTAATATTAGATTGAAAATCATATGAAAAGTTCTGGAAAATTTGTCATAAAAAGTTGATTCTCTATATATTTAACTCATATAAAATAAATTAAACTGAACAATAATATTAATATAACAATAATATTCACAAAAATAGTACATATTTCCTAAAATACTTACTAAAATTGTTGTAGTTTACTCTATTGCATTGAAACAGCAAAAAAAGTGACTAGGAAGTAATTTTTAATACAATTTCATAATAGAAAATAAAAATTCAGTTTTAATAATGGATTGGAAAATAAGTATAGAGAATATAAATTCCGGAGCTTTTTATTGAATTGAATTTTTATGTTATATAACAAACACTGTACGAGAATTTCATCGGGTTTTCATTTTTATTTTTGGTGAAACGTAAGACTTTATAAATTATTTATAGATTCACTACTATTTTAAAACCAAATATAAAAATACATTTTCGCCAATAATATTGAAAAATAAAAAGTAATTTAATTTATACATCACTTTCGATGTATTGAGTATTTGCTGACTTTTGTTGTTGTCTAACAAAATGGATTTTGATTAACTTTTTTTGTGCTTTTTATGTAAAATGCTGTATAAAATAGTGGACAATTGGCAAATAAAGTAACTACATGGATATTCATCAATATAAATAGATAAACCACAAAATTATTATATTAATTTTAAATCTAAAATACATTATAAGATACTAACAATTGGACAATATATATACAGGGATCCAATATATAATATATAGAGAATATTTAATAGTTTTCATATTATAATATAATATTATTATGTTTATATTTTGTCATTTAAAGCTATCATTGATTTACAAAAAAAAGTGATGAAGTATTTGAATAAAAGTAAATTGAATTTCTGTATTATCATTACACAAAAAAGTTGCTTGAACACATTATAGCGTTTGTCTCATTGAATGTAATGACGTGATTGTCGATCGTATGGATCGCATGGTTTGCGAAACTCCTGTCCCATCCATGGGAACCATTTGCCGGCAATCCATTTGCGTCCCACCAGTACTGGACACCCGCCGTGAAGTGTCTGTCCATTGAGTTCACCTGATTTGTCCAAAGTATACCAAAACACTGCCGAGTATTTTGTGGGCCAAACGGTCACATTGATGAGTGGGAATACAGTGGCCCCACCGGCACCCACATCGCTCAGGTAGTTGATCCACGTGGCCATACGCTGCCATACGGGCCATGATATGTTTAGTGTGATTCTGTATCCGTCGTAGTGGTCGTCCGCATACCCGCCGACACTATACTTAATAACGTTGTATTCGTCCGCGAAATTCATGTTAAGGCCAGTGATGGCACCGATACGTCGGCTGATTGTTTGCAACGGTTTGTGTTGTCGGTCCCAAAACTAACTATCCTTCCCTAGTGGGTTGTTAACTCTAGCTATATCTTTATCAGCTCCTCTATAGTATCCATTTACAACTGATGGCTGAGCTAATGAGATGATAGTTTGTGTCTCGTATTCCGACAGGAAGTCATGGATTACAACAATTTGCGGACTTTTGTACATCTCTTCCACTTTAATGCGAGTTAAAATCGGTGTTTTCGTTGTGTTTAAGTAAAAACACATGAGTTTCGAGACAATCGAGTCATTCATAAGTCTTTCTCCTCGACATAATTGATATACATTTGCAGACAAACCAAAAATAGGTTTATCTTTGACACCAAATATGCCATTCGTGTCGTTCACTGATCTCTCTTTGCTCTCTGATATCAACTCATTTGTCTCGATGTCTGGCTTTATAGCGACGGACAGTCTCTTATATTTCTGGGCTTCACTTGGTTTTCCAATTTTCTGTTCAAAAAACGACAGGTAATTAAAAATGTCTGCAATTATCTCATCACTAGTCATGTCATCCAATCTATGGACCGCTTCTTTCAACCATTGCTTTGCATTCAAGTACTCCTTGTTATCAAACGATTGTTTTCCTATCAAATAGCAGTCGAAAGTATTTAAAGCGAGTTTGGATTGATTTTCATGTGAAGTCACTTCAGCACCGGAACTGCTCTTAGATCTAATGAATCCATTCGCTAATGACTTGATATCCAAATCATAAGTATTGACGAGATTTATGACTCCAATCGCGGCGTCTGTCCACAAGTTGTCAATCATTTTCATTAACATTTCGATTATAAATTAAAATTTCTTTTAAATACCATTTAGTTCCTTATTAGTGATAATCTGTTGACTACTGGACACTAACTTCGCGCCAAACGTGACATTCACTGCATTTGTATGGTTAGAGTGACCACCGATTTGTCTCATTTGGACATCACTTAAGCGCTGGTCTTTGGTTCGCAACAAATCCTTCACTTCTTTCCAGTCGATAGCCATTCGTCTGATGAGGAGATATACGTCGAGTGGATGTCCTAAAAGTGAGCCCTCGGTGTCCTCTTTCAGTGCAAGTGAGTTCAAACTCATTGCGTTGTCTGTCAGTCGTCTTAAGCGAGAATTGAGGACCACTTCGGACACCAAATATTCACTCAACGACTCAATCATTGCTTTCTCTTGTGTTAAGAGATTCTCTAGTTTTGCGAAATCACTGTTAAAACCATTCACTCGTCCATTAAATCTCAATGTATAATACAATACGAAACTTATAATTAAGAAACTCTTCATTTTGATCGAAGAATATATTTAACTATTTTTGCAAATTAAAACTTTTGACCAAAACTAACAGTAAATTCTGAGATTTATTTGAAATGAATGTAAGAATACAATACACTTTTATAGTCTATGAACACAGAATATTATCGTTAGTTTATATTTGTTTATATTCCAGGAATATGTTTATGGCTTCACAGCCCATATTGTCATATCATATCATAATTAATGATATTAATGAATTGAATACCTTTGAGTTCTGCCAAACTCTCTGATCGCAACCGTTAAGATATCAATTAAAACCCTGACATGAAATATTGGTTCAGTTTAGGGGAATCTGAATCACTATAATAATATCATTATAACTAAAACAATAGAAATAATAATTAGAAAAATAAAGGTGCTCGTGTCCAAACATTGTCAACACCATAAATAAATGACAATCCATTTGGAAGTAGAAACCATACTTTGGGGGCAATAAACAAAAATTGAATAATAGTCGAGACCTGACAATAAAATGTCTATTTCTGGAAACAGATTAGTGTTTGAAAATACTTTCGGGCGATCAGCCCGTTAGAAAACTACGGGTGCTTTATATAAGCAAATGTGTGCGCAATTAAGGACACGATTATCACTAACAATTGGTGCCTGGTGGTTGTTTGGACCCTAATTAACTTACCACGTACATATTTAAAGCTACCCTAAATTATAACATAATTAAAATTATTTTATATAAGTTTTCTACATTGCATTGGTAATTAATACTGTTATTGGGAATACCAATGATTAATATTTATGTTAACTGATTTATTTTTTCGTACACACTAAAATAATTGTATCTTATTTTTATGGTCAGGTAGGTAATTATTAATATAGATAAAGTATATTAAAAATTATGGATTTAATGATAAGATCTGTGTACAGTACGGTTACCACTGAACTATCAATTATGAATCAATTATAGACTATAATTTACAGTGCTTGTCGTATTTATTAACAAGGTTATTGTGAGAAATCATGTTAAATTGTTAAGAATATTATGGGTTTTAAATGACAAGTATTACTGATATAACTCCTACGATAGGAGTGGACGGAGTGGTCATTGATATAAGCAAAAAATATCTATAAAACTGACAAAACCTCTACCATTGAGTGATGACTACTTTCCGGTCAAAAGTATAATAAATACATTATATAACTTATATCTAACTCTTACTTAAAAGCCATACATCTTATCGTATGAATTATATATGAATCCATTCAATAGTAATCCCAACAAAACTGGTGACAGATCTATAAATTCAAGTCTCGAAAAATATCCTCAAAAATCTGATTTAATTCATAGGAAAAAACATATTACTTGTCGCAGGAATTGAATGAATGCAACGAAAGATTTGTCTCAAATATAAAAATCACCAGTGAACATCACTGTAAGTAGTAAAACAATAATATGTTGCCATTAGCCGGTACTGTCACATAGTATTAGAGTCACAGGGAAAGTGTATTTTATTTAATAAATAGACACAAAAATTTATTTTTATTTTTTTCGCACAAAATCAATACATTGTGTGCTTATTATCAGGAATGACAGCAAATATTTTTATCCAATATATCGCAGATTTATTCGCAAATATGATGTTTTGAAAAAAGGGATTTACTTTTTTCATGTATTATTTTGTGCGGTATTGAGAGCTAAAGCTATTTCTCGTTTTTTCTATATAAAAATTGCTATTATTTTGTCTTAAATAGTATTATATATTTCGCAACAAATTTCTTGCGAAACGTATTTATAAATCAAAGGAAATGGTAAACAATTTCGCGAAATGTCTTATTAGTATAGTATTAGGCATTCATTCAGTACTGGGAATTAGACTTATGTTAAAGATTTTTATTCATTGAATTTTTAGATATTCTGCGAATTTATATTTATATCCCATAAAAAATAACCAGTCACCTAAATCCAAACTACTAGTCCAATGTACAAATTAGGATATATTTATTTATGTAGCAAATAAATTCATGTTTCCCCCGATTCATGACTTATTAAACACAGCAAGCGATTCAAATGAGTGCCTATTTTGTTGGCAAAAAGTACTTTTGTGTCAAATCGGCCAGAATTTTGTGCATGTTTTCAATAAATGCATTGAAAATAGATTTTTGTTGCGAATAAAATCGATACATTATATTTGTATAATGCATTGTAAAGGAAATCTAAAAAATATAAATATATACATCAATGTATAAATGTTTTTGGAGTCAAGTTTTTTGCAAAACTCTTATTTCCAGAATATTCTGTGCCTAAAATATTATATTAACATTATATTTATGGCGAAAACATTTATTTATTTATTTTTGGTCGTACAATATATTCAAAGTAAGATTTCTTTCCGGATAATTCATAATAAAAAGTATATTTTCAACATAAAATTATTGTATGAATTATTCAATGTAAAACCCATATTACAACTATTTTACGCATACATTTTGCTTGACTTTTAAAGTTTTATATCATAAAACTTAATTTTATATACAATTTTATATTATTAAATAAAATATTAAATTATGAACACAAAAAAACAATTAAAAAACAAAATAAAAAGTCAAACTTTTTTGACTCCAGTTTTCACAAGAAAAATAATACATTTACTAAAAATAAGTCTTCAATTTCAGCGATCAAAGAGACTGAAAATAAAGAGATTTTTATTTAAAGAAATAAAGAAATGAAAAAAACATATTTTCTCGCAATAAAAGTGTTTCTGTTATTCAACTAAAATATATATATTTTTGGTTATTTATATTCATATAAATCATGTCATAATACAATGGTCTCTCTCTCTCTCTCTCTCTCTCGTAAAGAGAGACCTTTACCATAAAGATAGTCTAAAAGGGGTACCAAAAACGGCAGAGAATATTCTGTATATAAAAATAGGGAGATCTCCAGAAACAAATCTTTTTGATACAATTTATAACACAAATCCCCACTCGTTTGCACTCTCGCATCCAAATCGCAAACATTAGTTTCCCTTTTATATTGAAATAAATTGATTGAAACAAACAGAAAATTTGCTCAAAATTTATGTGACACTCATTTGGGGCACCGATTTATAAGCGAGAGATTTATATCCAATACTGTGTTCGCTATTATATCCACGCATTCAACGAATCCCTACTTTTATTATGCATTCATTTCGTTTAAATAAAAAATATATCTTTTATTCACTTTTTTACATTCAAT